ACACCACGCAATCTCATCCATTAATAATGGGCTCTGAAATCTTAGCAATGACTGAGGTTAGGCTAACTGGTATATAATTTCCTATCTTCTCCCTCGCTCCCTTAAATGGGGTGCTATGTTAGCTATTTTCAATACTGTGGGACACTCCCTGATGAGTGATTCCTGAAAGATCACCACCCATGTCTCTACGATCTCCTCAGCAATCTCCTTCCGAACTCTGGGGTGTGGTCCATCTAGTCCAGGTGAGTGTTACACTTCAGACCCTTCAGCTTCCCCAGCACCTTCTCCTTAGTGATGGCCACTACATTCATCTCTGCCTGCCAACGCTTCTAAAGTTTTGCTGTACTACTGGTGTCTTCCACTGTGAAGACTGATTGCAGAGTATTCAGTTCCTTCACCATTTCCTTGTTCTCCACTAATTCTTGACCAGCCTAATTGTCCAGCAGTTCAATGTCCACTCTTGCATCTTTCTTAGCTTTTTATACGTTTGAAAAGGCTCTTGCAATCTTCTTTTTGTTACTAGCTAGCTTACCCTTGCATTTCATCTCTCCCCTTATTGATATTTAATTTTTTAGTTGTCCTTCACTAGTTTTTAAAGGCTTCTCCCTAATCTTCTTCACACTGTATACTTTTTTTGCAATGCCTGACTTGCCTTGTTGGCATAATTGCTTCATTCTTGCTTAATATGTTTCTTCCTTCTTAGAGGCACAAGAAGAATTGATCCTAAGTTAGCCCCAGAAGCTGTTACCATTGCTGCTCCACTGCCTTCTCTGTTAGGCATCCCTTCCAACCAACTCTCACCAGCTCGCCCCTTATCTTTGTAGTTAATTTTACTCCATTGTAATAATGTTGCATTTGATTCCCTTCTCAAACTGTAGGGTGAATTCCTTCAAATTAAGGTCACTGGCCCTTGGGGGTTCCTTCGCCTTAAGATCCCTAATCAAGTCTGCCTCATTATACATCACCGAATTCATATTAATTTAAATATTTTTCTCTCTGTCAGTACTGGTTACTCAAAGGATATTAGCCTCAGTTTGGTTGAGGTGCAGCCGTTTCATCTTGAACGTCTCACTTGTGCCCCAGGATGTGCCCCAATGCTCTGCTAATATAAAGGCCTCTTTCCTACTTTCTTCTGGATGGGAGATTAAACAGAGGTTCTGTCTGCCCCCTTGGGATGTAAATGATCTCAGGATGTTGTGTCAGTGACCGGCATGGGATTAACCCGCTGCCCTGGCTAATAGTTATCATCCAACAACATCCGAAAAACATGATCTAGTTGTTATCGTGTAATTGTTTTTGGGCACATGCTATGTACAATTTAGCTGCCTCGCTATGTACATTACAACAGTAGCTATATTTTCAGAAGTATTTCATTGTCTATGAATACAAACCTGCTTTCTTTTATATTCAGTCCCATGTGAGCCACAACTTGTTCCTTGTCCTTGCTAGAGATTTCTGCAGCCACTCAGTCATTTGTGCTGATTGGCCCATGTATGCTGTATTTTCAACAACAGTGCATTACATTTTGAAATATGATAGCATATGAACATGTTCAAACTTTGAATATTTGCATTGTTAATACTTTGTATAGAATTTTTATCCAGTACTTTATTAATATTGAACTTTTTTATGTAGTGCTCAAAGCTGCTGTCTGATACTACCGTGATCCAGTTTTACCCAAGCAAATTTGTTTTGATCACTGATATTTTGGACACTTTTGGTAAGAAATTACTTTGTATTTCTTCCAATATTGCCAAGCTGCTTTTAAGCTTAAAGAAGTGGAAAACTACTCTCTTGTACAGTGCAGCATTTTTTATTTGTTGGCGCATGTGCTTCTTGAATGGTCTTGGTGTTTTTCTATGTCTATTTGCAATTTATAGAAAGGTGGGGGGGCAAAAAGTTTTATTTGCATTCTAGAATTGTGAGCAATTTAGTTGATTTATACTTCATTCTCAGCAAACAATTGTTATTTGTTTTAGATGAAATAACCTACTATGTGGCATTTTAACTGAAGAAAGTGCAGTTTCCCTCATGGGATTTTGCTGTTTGATTTGCAGTAAATATTATTTACCTCAGAAAATGATGAATATTGAGTATATTTCAATATTATTGATCAGCTTCAATAAATTTATTAAAAAATAAAATCTCAATGTTCATTAAATTAGTTGTTCCAGGAACTTATTTGAATCAAGCTATTTGACTGCTACAAAGCAGAGAAATCTTGATATTCTACTTTTAAACATTAATGACTTATTTTACTACCTACCATTTCAAAGTGAAATTTTAACATAGTAATGTGAAAGTTATTAATATTTGAAGTACTGATTTTGAAACGTTTGATCTGGTCAATGTTTATGCAGTAGTTATCTTTTAAATAACAAAATACTGATGGCTGACTGCATTTGCAGTGCATTCTTCACATTAGTGCCAAGTGATTTTTGGCTTCAGATCAATGATAACTTATGGACTCTGAAGCAAGACTCCATGGGGAGGCAATGGCCTAGTGGCATTATTGCTGGACTGTTAATCCAGAGACCCAGAAAACGTTTTGGGGACTCAGGTTCGAATCCCGCCACAGCAGATGGTGGGATTTGAATTCAATAAATATCTGGAATTAAGAGTCTAATGATGACTGTGATTCCATTGTTGATTGTTGGAAAAACCCATCTGGCTCACTAATGTCCTTTAGGGAAGGAAGCTGTCATCCTTACCTGTTTTGGCCTACGTGTGACTCCAGCCCCACAGCAATGTGGTTGACTCTTAACTGCCCTCTGGGTAATTAAGGATGCTGCCTCGCCAGTGACACCCTTATCCCGTGAATGAATAAAGGGGGGAGAAAAAAAAAAAGCAGGTATCGAGGATGGGCTAGAGTGAGACCTCAGTGCCTCCTCCGGGAAGTCATTTTTCTCTTCTTTCTGATGTTGCGTTTGGTTTTGAGCCTGGATTTGGGCTTTGTTTTTGTGTACAGAAATGGGCACTATGTTCCAGATATGCATCTCAATATGCCTGTACAACTGAAGTATCCGATGTGGTCCAGCTGCTTTGAAGTTAAGGTCACTTCATTAACCTTGCGAATTTACTATGTATCTGCGCCGTGTACCTTCAAGTCAATTTTCCATTGCTTTGCCTAATCACCCAGTCTTTGTGTCCCTTTGTAATTTCTTGCTTCCACTCTATATAGTCTGCACTGCTTCTGAATTTTGTGCAACCCATTCACTTCAGTGTTTAGCTGCATTCTTACATTCAAGTTTATGTACATGAAGAAAAGACAAAGCCCCAAAACAGACCTGAGGAACACCACTTGGCACATTCCACATCCTAAAAATGAGACAGCACATTCTTTATCCCTATTCTGTGTCCTCTGTGTGTCTGGACCAATTGACAGCCTTTATAAACCAAATGTTTTGCTCTGTGCCTTTCCAGGTATATCTTTACTTCTGTTGAATCTGAATCTATGACCTTTTAGGCATTTGGCATTCTGACCTGTAATTTCAACCATGATCTGTTAAGAATTTGTGTAAGAGATAGATATAATTAAATAATTTGATTACAGGTAAACTAGTGTACGAGCGGATTTTATCCATGTGTGCAAGTAGTCGTGTTTCCCTTCCTGGGATCCCTGTACCAGGTAACTATAATAATGAAACTTTAACCTTCAAGAAATTTTAAAGCCAGTAAACAATATTAGGTGTTTTGAAGTGAACATCATAGGATTGAAAAATTTTATCAGTGTTGTAGGAAACAGATATCTTAGTTTTACGTTTAATGTAGATAATTATACCTGCAGCAGTGATTTCCTAAGGGGGATTTTGCGTGTAACCTCGAGCAATTGTTGGGCACACATGTTTTATACATCTGATTGTGCTCTTGTTTTACTTAACGTGGTCATAAGTCTTTTCAGTATCGTACATCTTGTACTTTTAATACAGATAATTTTGGTCCAGATGAAGTGAATGAAACCGCAAAAGAAACTTGTTTGAACTGGTTCTTCAAGATTGCTTCAATCAGGGAGCTGATTTCCAGATTGTATCCTTACACAAGTTACATTTTTGACTAGCTTGAGCTGCGTAGAAATTAAAGTTACTTGCTGATTGAGCTTTTTTTTAACGGGAGTAAGGAGTGTATATAAGGGTTTTTTTTATTTTAGTCAATACATTGAGAAAACCGTACCAATTTAATTAAACTTTCCAATCAGCCAGGAATCTCCTGGAATTCCAAGCCTATGGCTTAGCAATGGCGGGGGGGGGGGGAGAAAATCAATAGTAAATTGGTAACACTCGGAGATGATCAGAACATTCATTTCAATTTTAAAGTGTAGAAGACCAGTTGCACCAATGTTGCATTTGACAGTTAGACTTTTTCTTCAGATCAGTAGCAGAACCCCTAGCTCAGGATGGTTGGTGGGGGAAGAGACACTGCAAAGTAGGAACTGGGGGTGAAGTAACAGGAGACTGATGTAGTACCTTCTGGGTGGAGAAAAGAAGACTGGGGAATGGGTGGTCAGGGCATGCCAGTTGGTACTGCATAATGGGGGTCAGGTGTTGAGATTTATATGGGGGAAGAGGACGACTCTGTGGAATAGGCTTCATGCAGATAAGGAAGATTGGGGAACAGGGATTAGAAGAATGGGATGTAGACAAGGAGAGAGGAAGACTGGAGAAAGAGGCGATCAAGCCTGCAGACACATCCCTTACCAAAGTTAGGCAACCCTAAATATAATAGTATTTTGTCAGTGTCTCTGCAGTGGCGAATACTGCAGTATTTGTATATTGCTATTACTTTATATTCTTAATTCTAAGCCTCACTAACCCCTTATGATCAAATGATTGAATTATGTGCAAATATTGTTGGTCTTTGATGTTATTTTTCAAGCTAATAGTTTTGTGTTTTACATTAAAGTGAAAATTTATTTGCCTTGAGTTAATTCAGTTATGTGGAGGTGGCTATATTAAAATGTAATACATTCCTTTCTAAAACGTAAGTATGCTGGAATGTCTATGCTCTTTATTGTATTTTAAATACTTCCAAGCCACAATCTTGTGTAAGACTAAATTGTCAGACAAGTTTGGAGGTATATGCTGAGGTTTTTCAAATAATTTGGTTTGAATGTCTATGTAAGATGAAGGTGAATACATCCTTAAAGTGTGATATGCAATTTTTTTTAAAAGTGGGATCTCTGAGACTCTCCCTCGGTTGACCTCTATGATAAGAGGGATTGGTGATCCATTGGTTGCTGTCTATGCTAGAGCATATCTTTGCAAGGTAAGTTGCAATATTCTTTTCAACCTCTCAGATTTTGTCACCTGGCATTTTCTTGTTAATTGAGACATGCTTCATCTTTTTCATAAATTACATGTTATCGTTTTTTTTCCAACAGGTTGGAATGGAAGTGGCACCACATTTGAAAGACAACTTGAATAAGAATTTTTTTGATTTCCTCTCCACATTTAAACAAGTATGAAATCAGTATAGGAAATTATTCTATTTTTGCACTTCCCCTGAGCTCTGTACAAATTGCATTACAGCCACAGATCTTTAAAACTTCTTGCCAGCATCAATCATAGATATTTCAGTCAGAATGAACCATTTCACAGAATAACCTAGTTTACGTTCTTGGTGACTGCTAGTCAAAACCTAAAATTAAACCTTTCCCATTGCAGCCACTCAAATGAAGTGTACAACTTGGCGCAGTAACTTAACTAGTCATGTGTTAGAAACTTTGTGTCTGCCTGATTCTGTTGATTTTTTTTTTCATGTCTGTCATTTAGATTGAAAGCTAACTCTGTCCCCCTGTGTCTCCGTAATTACGCTCCTTGAGTTCTCCTAGTGGAGATGCTGCAGTTTTTTTTTTTTTTGCAGGCCAGTCCGATTAGGATAAAATAATTTAATGCTGTTTTTGTTATATGATTGAGCACAGGAAGCTATAATATCAAATAATATGTAAGTTGCGTTAGTGTAGACTGGTCCAATTATCCCCTCGCCCGTCTTTCCTGAGGCTTTGATATTCTCTGTGCTAAGTCACAGGAGATCTGTGTGTGTATTTTCTGACTAGAAATTGGTTTGAAAATGCCTTTAAAAGAAATGACACTGTATTGCTATGGGATGTTGAGTACAGTTTAAAACCCAAAGAGACCTGCTAACCTTAATATCCTTTACAATGTGCTAGATTTGATCTTACTTGTTCCTCATATATAGATTTGACCTGATTTTGACAGAAGTAAAATTGCTAGTTATTTTTGACTGTTTTAAACATATCATACATCAGCTTTGTTAAACTCTGCACTGCAGCCACAGTGCAGGAAGCACTTCAGAAGCAACCTTAGCTGAGGATTGCAAAGAGATTTCCTGGTAGCTACATTGTGGAATGGGGCACACATAGCTGTACTTACTAGCCACTTGGTGGCAGCAAATCTTCCTGATTAATTTTGGTGTCCAATATAGTCTGTTCTTTTACAATTAGTGGAGTTGCAAAATACTGTGGTGTTTTTGTAAATTTTGTATAATATTATTGAAAAGCACAGTTGGCACTGGCCAAAATTGAGAATCTAAAGAGACCAGTTTAAGGAGATAGTCTTTCTTCTACTGATTCTAGAACAGGCAACAATACATAAAAACAGATTGTCATTCAACCCCTTGAGTTTATTCTGACATTCTTAAGTTATGGGTGATCCATGCCTCAACCATATTCACCAAAGTTTGACTCCTATCCCTTGAGACTATTGTCTGAGACATTTCCATCAGTGACAATTCTAAAACTTTTTTTTTAAAACCGTGAACCAGTAGCACCTTAACACCTCATGACTCTGTCTAGTCGAGGAGCCTCCCTGCTTCCTCAATGCTACTTCCCCACCTCCTATATATCTCATCTACAAATTTCACAACAGTGCCCTCAGTTCCTTCGTCCAGGTTGTGAAAGTATGACATGAATAGCGGTGGTCGCAGCACTGAAAAAGACCCCTTTATCCCTGTTTTCTGCCTTCTGCCAGTCGGCCTATCCTTATCTATGCCAGTAACTTGCCAATAACACTGTGGGCTCTTATCTTACTTGGCAGCCTCCTGTTTGGCACCTTGTCAAAGGCCTTCTGGAATTCGAAGTAGATCATGACGACTGCCTTTCCTTTGTCTAACTTGCTTGTTATTTCGTCAGAGTTCCAGCAGATTTGTCAGGCATTTAAACTATATAAGGGATAACAGAGTGTGGAGCTGGAGGAACACAGGCTAGGCAGCATCAGGAGCAGGAAAACTGATGTTTCGGGTCCCGAATAAGCAGTTCCTACTATCTCTACACTATGTAAGAGTTATTGTCAATCTGCCTACTTGCTTGATTGATTTGTCCTTTTGGTAATTGTCTGTGTGCTTCACAATTCACTATGTATCTTTGGAACAATGCTGCAGTTCCAGATCCTTAGCTGAACTCCTCAAGATCCAATCAGTGGTGATCTCTCTAAACCTATCCGAGAAAAAGTTTTTATTTTATCCTTTTTCTGTCACCTTCCAATTGCACTGTCAATTACAGAACTTTGCAGTACTGTTATCAATGGTGTAAACTGCAACATCATTGGGATTTATAAAGTCTGGTCATCTGTGGGTGGTATTAGAGTTCATGTTGAACTGGTGGCTGGTATTGGCATCAAGGACTTGTGGGGCTGTAGTACAGATACCTGTCTTTATCTGTGAGGTGGAACAATTAATGTGGGCTGTCTGTCTTTACTGTACCTTCTCCTTTGTAAGGGGCCATCTTTGAAGAATTGTTGCTTGTTGCATTCTCTCTGATATGAATACTTGGGTGTTTTAGAAAAACCTGGGTGAATTGGTACACAGTTCAGATGTACTGTATAGTTTTGTTAATTAACAAAGTCAAACATTATAATTCATTGGTAACTATTATTTTATTCAATACAGATTCATGGCGAAACAGTTCAGAACCAGCTTGCTGTGCAGCGGGTAGAAATCCCCGTCTACCTTACGCTATATTCTCCTGCTATAGACTGGATTCTTCAATGCATTGCATACAGAGCACCAGAGGTTCACTTTAATTTTCTTGAAATTTGAATGTATTAAACGTTTTGCTGTTACGCTATGAAACAAAGTTTGTGCTTCACTCTGCAAACCTGGAATTCATTCTACGCAGAACTGTGCGGCGTCTTTCAACATTGCTATGCGTGCAGCTTCTTGTAGTACGTGATTCATGAGTAATGAGCTGGTTTTTATCCTGGTCAGGATAATGCTCTTAACCTTCTGCCAAACTCTCCAAAAAAAATCCGTTTTGTAGGTGCATTGACTGATTACAGTTTTCTAATATGTATTGTTTTAATATGATTGCATTAATTATTTTAGCAGCAGCATTTCTTTAAAAACTTAGTAGGCATAATAAAAACTTAGAACATAGAACAGTACAGCACAGTACAGGCCCTTCAGCCCACGATGTTTTGGAGACCTATTATCCTTCTCCAAGTTCAAACTAACCTGCATACCTTCATTTTACTATCATCCATGTGCCTATTCAAGAGTCGCTTAAATGTCCCTAATGTATGTGACTCTACTACCATGGTTGGCAGTGCATTCCATGCACCCACCAGTTAGCTAGGCTGTTAACTTCTTTTAAGTGAATAGAAAATCCATTTAGCAGCTTAGAATGATATGAATAAGGACCAAATGCACACTTCCTAATTTTCCATTAGAGGATTTCTGGAAATTGGTAACAGGATTTCACCTTTTCCACATTCTGCAAATCTTGATGAATAGGTTCAGCATCTTGCTGAAATTTCTGGCATTTCAATGTCATAGTGTTCAGGTTTAACGAATTTTACAGTCCCTTAAGTTTATGTTTGTAATACATTCTCATTTTTTGCCTGCCTCTTTCCCTGTCCCCACCGCAAAAAACAACACCTAGCTTCCAGTTATTTTCTGCCCCATTTGCACTCTGTTCCCCTCTTGTATGCTTTTCCGTGATTGGAAAGGCAACTATGTCATTCATTGTTCCAGTGCTATTTCAAAGATGATTGCTAGGTAATGTGCTATTGCAGCCCATTGTCACTTTGTTTTTTTTTAATTACTTTGCCACAGCTTTTTATAGAAATGGAGGATTACATTCCATTCAATTTATTGATTTGACTGTTTTCAGTACTAGGATAGTTCTCATGTTGGTGCCTGTAGTATCATATTGAATGAAATATGTGACGTTGGGCAAAAGTGCAAGCCCATTAAAACTAGTGGTGCGTATCTTAGTTCATTGTCAGATTACTATTTTGACGTTTTCTTATTTTGGTTTTTAAAAAAAAAAAAAAAAAATTGCTTCCCTTAAAAACATTTGGCTGTAGCAGTACATTCCATGTTTTTGTCACTTTGATAGGTTCCTCCTGGTCATCTTTTTATTAGCAATTTTCTTATTTATAAGATGTAGTCCATGGAATCTCCCAAATGTGGAAACATATCCTGTACGTCTACTCAGATCAACCTTAAAGAAATGTTGTCTACTAGATTCCATAAAAAGGTTCACAAATCTCTTCTGTTTTTTTTGTCAAACTATCCATCTATAAATAACTACTGTGCTTGAGTTCCTTTATTTATAGCATCGTATTATTAGTTTTACTAATTTGTTTAGAGACAAAAAAAACTGTAGGTGCTGAAATCCAAGGTAGACAAACAGGAGGCTGGAAGAACACAGCAAGTCAGGCAGCATCTGGAGGAAAGGAGAAGTCAACGTTTTGGGTATTACCCTTCTTCAGGACTGGATTTGGGGGGGGGGGGGGTTGGTAGCGGAATTGTAGTGATGAGTAGACACTGATAGTAGGTCTGGCTTGGTTGGTTGATGGGAGGGATGATCCATTTGGTAGCTGGAAGGGAGGGTTAGTAGGTGGAATGGAATGAAAGGAAGACAGGGGTTGGGTGGGAAGGTTGTTTGAAATTGGTGAACTCAAATGTTGAGTCCTCCGGTCTGTAGGGTGCCCAGGCGTAAGATAAGGTGTTGTTCCTCAAATTTGTATTCTGAGTCGCTGCTACACTGGAGGTGGCCAAGGACAGATATGTCGGAGGGGGAGTTGGGTGGGGGGGTGGTAGTTGAAATGGACGGTGACCAGGTGGTTAGGTTGACCGTTATGGACCAGGTGAAGATGCTTGGCAAAACAGTCACCTAGTCTACATCTAGTCTTCATCTCTTAATCGTAACAGATGCAACACCTGCCTGCCTACACACCACCTCCCTACACGCTACCTCCCTCACCTCCAGGGCCCTAAACAGACCTTTCAGGTGAGACAGAACTTCATCTGCATCTCCTCCAACCTAGTCTACTGCATCTGGTGCTCCCGATTGTGCTCTTCTCTATATGGGTGAGACCAGACATAGAATTGATTTTGCTGAGCATCTTCGCCTGGCCCATAATGGCCAACCTAACTTCCTGGTCGTCACCCATTTCGACTCTCTCCCACTCCCCTCACACTCCACCTCCGACATGTCCATCCTCGGCCTCCTCCAGTGTCGCAACGATTCACAACACAAATTTGAGGAACAACACCTTTTTCGTCTGCCTGGCCACCGTACAGCTTGGAGAACTCAACATTTGAGTTCACCAATTTCAAATAACCTTCCCACCCATCCCCTGTTTCCAGCCCCACCTCCTCCCTTCCTTCCTTCCTTTCCACCTACTGACCCTCTCTCTTCCAGCTACCAACTGGGTTCATCCTTCCATCAACTAACCAGGTCGTGCCTACTACCAGTGTCCACCTATCACCACCATTCTGCTGCTCCACCCACCCCCATATCCAGCCCTGAAGAAGGGTAATACCGGAAATGTTGACGTCACCTTTCCTCTGGCTTGCTGTATTCTTCCAGCCTCCTGTTTGTTTACTTTACTAATTTGTCGATCTGTATGTTTAGATCCTTTTGCTGCTATAACCTATTTAGACTCTTATTAATGAAGCAAAAAAAATACCACTTTACCCTGATGTATGCACACTCGAATGTATTGAAATTCATTTTTCAATTATGCGCTCATTCTACAATTCATTAGTTCAGCTTTATATGTAAAGTGATATTAAAGAACTGCATATTGCTGGAGGTCTGAGGGAAAAAACTGGAATTGCTGGAGAAACTCAGCAGGACGGGTAGCATCTGTGGGAAGAAAACAGAGTTAAAATTTCCAATTCAGTGACTCCTTTTTTTTTAGGTTCTGTTTTTCAAGCTATCTCTCTAGAAACGAACTACTGTGCATTGTCTACGTTTCCCAGTTTGGTCCATACGTTTTGAAATTGTAATTCCTGAGCCAAAATTATTGATTGTAAAATGTGAATGGCTGTGGTCCCAGTTCTATGATTATTTTGGAATCACAACCTTCTATCTTCTAGCTGTCAGAGTAAATACTTTTTTAACTTTGATTCTCTTCTGTACCAAGCTAGGTACAGATATTGCTGACTCCACATGCTTTGACCTGAGTATTAAATTCACTGTGATCCCTTTATCAAAGACTTTTGAAAATCCAAATGTGTTAAGCTTGCATTACCTTTGTCTACCTTCTTTTTTTTTTTTTGAAAGACTTTAAAAGGTTCAAGCATGACTTTCCTTTTTGAAATCAGTGTTGGCTATTCGTTTTTAATATATTTTAAGTTTTGACTTGCTTTTCTACTTTATGTAAAGATTTTGTCATCGTTGCTAACACTGTTTTTAGGTTTGGTAATACAACATAGACATGTTGGGCAGAAGGGCCTGTTTCTATGCTGACCAACAAACACTGAACTACACTAGTCCCACTTGCTTGCACGTAGTCCATGGCCTGCTAGACCCTGGCATTTTAAGTGCTTGTCCAGATGCTGCTTAAATGCTGAGACTATCTGCCTCCACCATCCCCTCGGGCAGCACGTTTTGATATTTCTGCGACCTTCTGGGTGAAAAATGTTTCCTCAAGTCGCCCATAAACCTGATACTTGTTACCTTTTAAACTTTTGCCCTCTGGTCTGAGACATTCGTGCCAAGGGGAAAAGATTCTCATGATCTACTGTCTGTACCGCTGTTTTGTGTACCTCAAACAGATCCCTTCAGCCTCCTCTGCTCCAGGGAAAACAAACCCAGCCTATCCAGTCTCTTTTCATAGCTGAGACTTTCCATCCCATCCCAGGCAACATCCTGGTGAATCTCCTCTGCAGCCTGTCTGGTGCATTACATCCTTCTGATAGAATGGTGTCCCGAGCTGCTCAAAGTATCCCATCTGTGGCCTGACAAATGTTTGTTTTAGAAAGTTGTAACAAGATTTCCTTTGGCCTGGCTAATGAAGGCAAGCATCCCAATGCCACTTTCGTCATCCTGTCTGCATGTGCTGACACCTTCTAGGATCTAGGACTTGTACACCAAGGTCTCTTTGTTCCTTAGTAGTCCCTTGGGACTTGCCATTCATTTGTGTATACCGTTCCCTTATTAGACCTCCTAAGATGTATTGTTTCACACTTTTTTTTCATTCATTCACTGGCTGTGGGTATCACTGACCAGGCTAGTATTTATTACTCAATTTCTGTTGGGCAATTAGGGATAAGTCAAGCACATTGCTGTATCTCTGGAGTCACTATAGGTCAGATGAAGTAAGTATGGTAGTTTCCTTCCCTAACTTAGATTAGTGAATCAGATTAGCCTTTTTCTGAAAATCAACAGCGGTTTCATAGTCATCATTAGACTCCTGATTCCAGATATTTCATTCAAATTCCACTATCTGCCATTACAAGATTCAAATGCAGGTTCCTGACACGTTACCAGGATCTCTGGATTAATAGTCTAGCGGTAATACCACTAGGTCGTCATCTCCCCAAATATGATTTATCCTTAAACGCCCTTATCAGGATTAAATTCCATGTGCTATTGCTCTGCCCAATTTACCAGCTGACCAATATCAGACTGCAGCCTGAGACCATCCACCTCTTTATGAACAACAGCACCAATTTTTGCATCAACTGCAAACTTAGTAATTATATTTTCTATATTCACATCCAAGTCATTTAATGTATATAATAGCAGGGTCCCAGCATGGATCCCTGTGGTACACTGCTGGTCACAGGCTTCCAATCACAAAAACAACCCTCCACAATCATTCTTTGCCTCCTATTTGAGGAGGGTTATGGAGGGTTTAAACTAGTGTAGCAGGGAATGATGAACCAGAGGAGTAGGGCAGTAGATGCAGAAATTGAGAAAGAGGTAGAAACCAAGGCAAACATGATGAAGAACAAGAATAGGCAGAGCAATGCTACTGAAAAGAGCAGGCGAGGTGGTCTGAAATGTATGTTTCAATGCGAGAAGTATAATGGGCAAGGTAGATGAACTTAGAGCATTAGTTAGTACTTGGAACTAGACATTATCGCGATTACAGGGATTTGGCTGAAAGACAGGACAGGACTGGCAGCTGAATGTCCCACGATTTAGATGCTTCAGGTGTGATAAAAGGGGTGGGGGAGTTGCATTACCGGTAAAGGAGTATTTCTCAGCTGTACTGAGGGAGGATACATCAGAGGACAAATGCAGCAAGGCAGTATGGGTAGAAGCCAGGAATAGGAAAGGTGAAATCACAATGCTGGGGTATACTACAGGTCTCCCAAAAGCCAGCAGGAGATAGAGGAGCGAATATGTAGACAGATTTTGGAAAGATGTAAAAACAGTGGGGTTGTTGTGGTGGGTGACTTTACCTTCCCCTATATTTACTGGGACTTACTTCGTGCTAGGGGCTTGGATAGGACAGAATTTATGAGGACCATTCAGGAAGGTTTCTTGACACAGTACGCAGGGAATGAATTATCCTGGGCCTGGTTTTGGGAAATAAGCCTGGCCAGGTGAATGAAGTTTCAGTGGGGGAGCATTTTGGGAGTAGTGACCATGATACCGTGAGTTTTAAGATATTCACAGATAGGGATAACAGCAGCCCTCAAGTGAAGGTGTTTATCTGATACAGAAGGTAAAGTTGCACGGGGTCAGAGGTGAGCTTGCAAGATGGATAAAAAACTGGCTTGGTCATAGAAGACAGGGTAGCAGTGGAAGGGTGTGTTTCTGAATGGAGGGCTGTGACTAGTGGTGTTCCTCGGAGATCAGTGTTGGGACCTTTGCTGTTTGTAATATATATAAATGATTTGGAGGAGAATGTAACTGGTCTGATTTGGTAAGTTTGCCGATGACACAAAGGTTGGTGGAATTGCGGATCGCGACGAGGATTGGCTGGATATAGATCGGTTGGTGTCTTGGGCATAGAGATAGCCAATGGAGTTTAATCCAGAAAAATGTGAAGTAATGCATTTTGGAAAGTCTAAGCCAGATTGAAAATAAACAGTAAATGGCCTTAAGAGTACTGATAGGCAGAAGGATCTGGGCGTACAGGTCGCTGAAAGTGGCAACGCAGGTGGAGAATGTAGTCAACAAGGCGTACGGCATGCTTGCCTTCATCGGCCGGGACGTTGAGTTTAAAAATTGGCAGGTGATGTTGCAGCTTAGTTAGGCCACATTTGGAATATTGTGTTCAATTCTGGTCGTCACACTACCAGAAGGATGTGGTGGCTTTAGAGAGGGTACAGAAAAGATTTACCAGGATGTTGCCTGGTATGGAGGGCATTAGCTATGAGGAGAGGTTGGAGAAACTCGGGTTGTTCTCACTGGAACGACGGAGGTTAAGGAGCAACCTGGACAGAGGTCTTATAAGATAATGAAGGGCATGGACAGAGTGGGCAGTCAGAAGCTTTTTCCCAGGGTGGAAGAGTCAGTTACCAGGGGCCATGGATTTAAGGTGCGAGGGGCAAGGTTTAAAGATGGTGTATGCGGCAAGTTTTTTTTTAACACAGAGGGTGATAGGTGCCTGGAACTCACTGCCGGGGGAGGTGGTGGAAGCAGATACTACAGTGACTTTTAAAGGGCGTCATGACAAATATGAGTAGGATGGGAATAGAGGGATACGGTCCCCGGAAGGGTAGGGTGTTTTAATGGTGATGGGCAGCATGTCGGTGCAGGCTTGGAGGGCCGAAGGGCTTGTTCCTTTGCTGAAACTTTCTTTTCTTTGTTCTAAATTGGATTTGTTTACACTGGAACACAGGAGTTTGAGGGGTGATCTGATTGCCGTAGAAATTTTATAAGATTGTCAAGAATAGAGTGGAAAGTATGAGGCTTTTTTCCAGGGTGGAGGGGTCAGTTATTAGGGGACACAAGTTCAAGGTGTGGGGAGTTGGAGAGATGTGCGAGGTAAGCTTTCTCCTTTGCACAAAGGACGGTGAGTACCTGGAATGCGCTGCCAGAAGAGGTAGTGGAAGCAGACACAGCAGCAGTCAAGAAGGAATTTGACAAATACATGAAAAGACAGGAAATAGAGGGATAAGGATCCTGTAAATGAAGACAGGCTTAGTGTTTTAGTTTTAGTTTTAGTACAGAAGGGCAAAATGTGTCAGCACTGGTTGGAGGGCCGAAGGGCCTGTTCCTGTGCTGTCTTGTTCTTGGTTCTTATTTGCACACCAGTTTTGGATCCAGTTTGCCATCTTGCCTTGGATCTCATGAGCTCTTACCTTTTTGGACCAGCCTTCCATGAGGGACCTTGTCAAAAACTTTACTGAAGTTCACATAAACCACATCATCTGTACTGCCCTCATTAATATATTTAGCCACGTTCTCAAAAAACTCAGTTAAATTAGTCAGACAGGATCTCCCCATAACAAATCCTTGCTGACTATCCCCAATTAATCCCTGCCTTTCCAAGAGTTGATTTAATCCTGTCCTTCAGAGTCTGTTGCAATAATTTCCCTACTACTGACATCAGACTAACTGGTCTGTAATTACCTGGCCCATCCCTGCTGCCTGCCTTGAACAAAGGAACCACATTAGCAATTCTCTAGTCATCTGGCACTTCAGCTGTGGCCAGCGACATACTAAGTATCTCTGCCAGGGCCCCAGCAATCTCCTTCCTTGCCCCCATAGCAGCCTGGAATGCATTTTTTTCGGGCCCTGGAGACTAAATGTACCTTTATGCATTCTAAAACATATAACATCTCCACCTTATTAGTATTAACATGTTCCAGAACCTCGCCTTCCCAAATTGAAATCACCAGCTACAATGTCTTTCTCTGTGAATACAGCTGAGAAGTATTCATTTAAGACCTCGCGCACATCCACTGGCTCCACACACTGCCCCTTTGTCTCTATGGTATTTAACAGGTCCCATCCTTTCTGTCTTGCTCTTAACATTGTTACACAAGGCCTTTTCAGTTTTCCTTGATCTCAATATCTGTAGTTACCTGAACATGTTCTCTTATCTTAATTATATGCTTTGATCAGGTGTACAGTGTGCACAGATTATGCTTTGTGATGTTAGAACATAGAACATTACAGCGCAGTACAGGCCCTTCGGCCCTCGATGGTTTCACAGGTCGGCGCAACAATCTGAAGCCCATCTAACCTAAACTACTCCATTATCATCCATATGTTTATCCAATGACCATTTAAATGCCCTTAAAGTTGGCGAGTCTACTATTTTTGCAGGCAGGGCATTCCACGCCCTTACTACTCTCTGAGTAAAGAACCTACCTCTGACATCTGTCCTATATCTATCACCCCTCAATTTAAAGCTATGTCCCCTCGTGCTAGCCATCACCATCTGAGGAAAAAGGCTCCCACTGTCCACCCTATCTAATCCTCTGATCATCTTGTATGTCTCTATCAAGTCACCTCTTAACCTTCTTCTTCTCTCTAACAAAAACAGCCTCAAGACCCTCAGCCTTTCCTCATAAGACCTTCCCTCCATACCAGGCAACATCCTGTTAAATCTCCTCTGCACCCTTTCCAATGCTTCCACATCCTTCCTATAATGCGGTGACCAGAACTGTACGCAATACTCCAAGTGCCGCCGCACCAGAGTTTTGTACAGCTGCAACATGACCTCATGGCTCCGAAACTCAATCCCTCTACCAATAAAACCTAACATACTGTACACCTTCTTAACAACGCTATCAACCTGGGTGGCAACTTTCAGTGATCTATGCACATGGACACCGAGATCTCTCTGCTCATCCACACTACCAAGAATCTTACCATTAGCCCAGTACTCTGTATTCCTGTTACTCCTTCCAAAGTGAATCATCTCACACTTTTCTGCATTAAACTCCATTTGCCACCTCTCAGCCCACCTCTGCAGCTTATCTATGTCCCTCTGTAAGCTGCAACATCCTTCCGCACTATCCACGACTCCACCGACTTTGGTGTCATCCGCAAATTTACTAACCCATCCTTCTACGCACTCATCCAGGTCATTTATAAAAATGACAAACAGCAGTGGCCCCAAAACAGACCCTTGAGGTACACCACTAGTAACTGAGATCCTTGAGGTACACCACTAGTAACTGAAATACTAGTGTTGAAATACAAAACGTAAAAAGCTGGTAAATTGTTTAAAAAAACAGCTTGCGTGCCACAAACTTTTAAAATTGGCTAGTTTTCCAAAGTTGTCCAACATTTAACTGATTCAATGTGGTACTGAAATAGAAACATTAAAAATAGGAATTAAATGAATTAGTCACACGCCCTACTTTATGCACAAACGAACTGCTTATAAACTGTACTTGTTATGGCTGTTTACAGACTTTACTTACAGAAATGATGGACAGGTGCAAGACTCTTGGAAACAAGTAAGTGATATAAAATTATTTACACCCCCACTTCATGACATAATGTGCAAAATACTCCTACGCACCACCCTGTGTGTACTTCCTGATATGTGTTTTGGTCTTTTGTCCCTCAATTTCTAATAGTGCTTTGCTGTTGAACTCCGTAATGTCAGCATTTAGACCGGAATTCATTGCAGCAAGATCTATGGATTTCATTGGCATGATAAAGGACTGTGAAGAGTCTGGTTTTCCCAAGGTAGGTCAATGCGCAACATCAAAAAGCAGTGGTCCATTCTGTGATGTGCGTTTATGCTCTAGATCCATGTTGCAGACAGCAAATATAGACAGGGTCTATCTGTTCCATGACACAGTTTGAGCTGTGGCAGCAAGTATTTCCAATTATTTTTTGTATCCCTTGAACAATATCGCGAAGGCAGATTAAATTGTTACTAATCTCATCGTTTCTGTCTACTGGTCAAGCCTCCTGTCTACCAGTTAGTCACTGAACATTTTTTGTCTGCAACCATTTGAAACGTTTTTCAGATGTGCAATGAGATGATGCCTAATTGAAAGTTTTTTTTCTTTTTTGTTTTGTTTGTATGTAGTAATAATAATCCATGGTGGGTTTGGGGCATTAATCTCAATTTGAAAGGACCATATCCCAATTTTGGATAGATGGTTAATTCTAAATGGTTGCCTCACTAAAGCATCACTGTTAGTGGAATCTTGCTATGTCTTGCTGAATCTTCTCATCTTACGTTAGTGATTACTCTTCAAAAGGATTTCATCTATTGCGAAGTGCTTTAAGACTTGAGATTTTGAGATGCACTATATAATTGCATCTATCTTTTATGCGCTTTATAGTCTTTTTAGTTTCGTGTTGCGCTGGTGCGACATTGTGCTTTATGGCAGTTTACTGTGATCTTACTGCTTTCTGATTTATCTACACTGCAGCATCTTCTTTTCCAATCCTTGGGGTTAAACTTGGCTTTGGCTGATCCCCCTGAGAATGACAGACTGCAAATTCTTAATGAAGCTTGGAAGGTTATTACCAAACTTAAGAGTCCACAGGTCAGTGGTGCATTCCATCCTTCTTTAGGTAATAAATCCCATATCTGACAACTCTTAATTAAATCTTATGAACATGTTGAAAATATGAGTTCTTCAGGAGTATTTGATATTTTATCAGAGTTAATTTTGAATTTGTTTGTGTACAGTATGTTTATATATAGGTGGCATGTATTTTTTTTGTAGAATGTGATAGGTAAAGTATAATGCTGCTTTTAAGAATAGTTTATATTCATTCTGCAGGGGGAGGGGGAGAGAAAAATCTTCAAAAGGCATATAAAGCAATAGCCATATGTAAAATATGTCTTTAAATGTGCAAGTACAAATAAATAGGACAACATTTGCTTGGTTTTGGGCAGGAGATTGTTGCTTCTTGGATTTCTTTTTAAACATCTTGGCTGTCCCTGAAAATTGGTTTCACGGGGTGATGTTAATAAAATCCTTTATCCTCAGTCATCCTGATGACCTATTTTTTATTTTTGAAGGACTCGTGAAGAGAAAGCTGTCTTTTTTTTGCTGTGCAGGGAATAAGTATCAAGTGAGAGATCTGGTGAGCTCACCACGGGGACCAATCCCTCCGTGACGCTCTGGTCCAGTCCTCATGCTTCCTTTCTTGCCCCCACCCCCACTGGGCTCTTCTAATGCAATCTCAGAAGGTGTGACACTTGCCATTCAACTCCTCCCTCCTCAGAGTCTAAAGGCCCAGGCACACTTTGCAGGTGAAGCAGTTTTGCTTGTTTCTCTGTCAATCTTACCTACTGCTTTTGACACTCTCCATTTGGTCTTTACATTAGTGTGACCAAAAGCAGTCTACATGACAGTGTTATGAAACACCACTGCTCTGTCTGTAGGAATGAACCTGACCTCCCAGTTGCTTACCATTTCATAAGCCATCTTGCGACAGGATTGCTGTTGGTCGTAACAGTTTTCCCCTAGGCTTGCTGCAATGTTCCAACAAAGCAGAATGCAAACTCATATTCCACTTGGGCATTTTACAGCCTTGACGTCTCAATGTTGAATTCAGTAACTTCAGAAACTGACTGTGTTTGCTGTTCATCTATTGTACACCCCACCCACCATCACCCCCTCTGTTTCTGTCTTCACGGATGCTGACAGACATGCTGAGCTTCTCCAGCATTGTGTCTGCTTCAGATCTGCAGGATTTGGCTTCCGTCATGGCATGCTGCTGCCTCCACCGCTTTGAACTAATGCATTTTTGACACGTTAGGATTATTTTTTTTAATTGGGGAAACCTGTTGTAAATACTTGTTCTCCCAGCATAGCCCTGTTATACGAATTTAGCCTAATCTTGTATTTCTCTGTAATAGAGGATGGAGACAATGTTTTTGCTTTCCAAGATCAATTTAATGCAAGGATTTGTCCGTTTATCATGCCAAGCACCACCTCTCTTTAAAAAATGAGCAATCCAGGCATATCTCTTCCAGTGTCTAATGGCACTAATCCACTGCTACATTGTATTTTAAGATATAGGAAGACTGTTCATCTAATGGTTTTGCACAGTGATGTGCCTTTGTGGTAAATCTAACAAGTATCTGATTTTGGCAGATTTGGATGATGTCAGGCCAGAAGAAAACGAAAGGCAGTGAAATTCATCTCTAGAAGAACAGAATTGGAAAACGGGCAAATTAATGTTAATCTTGGAAAGAATATTAATTAACCTACAGAATATGAACAGTCCTGATCTCCATAACATTAAACAAAAGTTAGAAGTAATATAGACATAAGAGCTATTTTGCACTCATTTTAGTAAATACAAGAGATTATACCTGTCAGAAAATAGATGACAGGTTAGGGGTTTTGTCCAGACAATAACTAATGGGTGACTTACTGGAGGTTTTCCAAATTGAGGTGTTTTGTGGCTAGATGTAAGGGGGGAGTGGAAAAGGGAGATGACCAGAATGAAGGGCATTAAATATGGGTTCACTAATAAATCTAATCAGGAATTCAGAAGAAACATCTTTTACCCAGAGAATGGGTAGCCATGCGCAAACCAAAATGAAAGCAAGTTCTGTGTTTGTTGAAGGTTACTGCGCTTATGAAGATTCTGTTTTTTTTTAAAAGACAAGAATGTAAACAACCTCTTGTAAACTTGGGTGAATTTAATATTCTGTTGGCTTTAGGATTATGTTAACTGTGCTGAGGTTTGGATAGAGTACACATGCAAGCATTTCACAGTAAGTACAATTTCATGCTTTTCAGATTCAAAACCATATCTACTTTTTGAAAAATACTAATTCTGTATTGTCTAACTTGCCAGAAACGGGAAGTTAATACTGTGTTATCGGATGTCATTAAGCATTTAACTCCAGATCGAGCTTTTGAAGATGCTTACCCACAGGTAATGTACCACAATTTTCAGAAAATGTAAAAGGTTAAAATCCTGCTGTTTTCTCCTCCTCCTTGATTTGTGTTATCATATTTTCTCATTATCCATGCACTTAAGTCTTGGTGGAACAAAGAAAAGAACAAAGAAAATTACAGCACAGGAACAGGCCCTTCGGCCCTCCAAGCCTGCACCAACATGCTGTCACAACTAAAACCCCCTACCCTTCCGGGGACCGTATCCCTCTCTTCTCATCCTATCCATGTATTTGTCAAGACACCATTTAAAAGTCACTGTAGTATCTGCTTCCACTACCTCCCCCAGCAGTGAGTTCCAGGCACCTATCACCCTCTGTGTTTTAAAAAAAAAACTTGCCACATACACCACCTTTAAACCTTGCCCCTCACACCTTAAATCCATGGCCCCTGGTAACTGACTCTTCCACCCTGGGAAAAAGCTTCTGACTGTCCACTCTGTCCATGCCCTTCATTATCTTATAAGACCTCTATCAAGTGGCCCCTTAACCTCCATCGTTCCAGTGAGGACAACCCAAGTTTCTCCAACCTCTCCTCATAGCTAATGCCCTCCATACCAGGCAACATCCTGGTAATTCTTTTCTGTACCCTCTAAAGCCACCACATCCTTCTGGTAGTGTGGCGACCAGGATTGAACACGCTATTCCAAATGCAGCCTAACTAAGATTCTATAAAGCTGCAACATTACCTGCCAATTTTTAAACTCAATGCTCCGGCTGATGAAGGCAAGCATGCCGTATGCCTTGCTGACTACCTTTTCCATCTGCATTGCCACTTTCAGTGACCTGTGTACTTGTACACCCAGATCTCTTTGCCTATCAGTACTCTTAAGGGTTCTGCCATTTACTGCATATTTTTCATCTGGATTAGACTTTCCAAAATGCATTACTTCACATTTTTTCCGGATTAAACTCCATCGGCTATCTCTCTGCCCAAGTCACCAACTGATCTATATCCTGCTGTATCCCTTGTTGGTCCTCATCACTATCTGCAATTCCACCAACCTTTGTGTCATCAGCAAACTTACCAATCAGACCAGTTACATTCTCCTCCAAACCATTTGTATATATTACAAACAGCAAAGGAACGCCACTAGTCACAGCCCTCCATTCAGAAACACACCCTTCCACTGCTACCCTCTGTCTTCTGTGACCGAGCCAGTTTTTTATCCATCTTGCAAGCTCATCTCTGACCCAATGCAACTTTACCTTCTGTATCAACCTGCCATGAGGGATCTTGTCAAAGGCCTTACTGAAGTCCATGCAGACAATATCCACTGCCCTACCCTCGTCTATCATCTTCGTCACTTCCTCAAAAAACTCAACTAAGTTAGTGAGAAATGACCTCCCCTTCACGAAACCATTTTGCCTCTTGCTAATACGCCCACTGATTTCCAGGTGTGAGTAAATCCTATTTCGGAGAGTCCTCTCCAATAATCTCCTCACCACTGACACAAGGCTCACCGGCCTGTAATTAGCTGGATTATCCCTGCCACCCTTCTTAAACAAAGGAACAACATTGGCTATTCTCCAGCTCTGGGACCTCCTCTGTAGCCAGTGAGGATACAGAGATTTCCCTCAAGACCCCAGCAATTTCCTCCCTTGCCTCTCTCGGTATTCTGGGGTATATCCCATCAGGCCCTGGGGACTTGTCTACCTTAATGTTTTTCAAGACTCTCAATATCTCCTCCCTTTTGATCTCAACATGACCCAAACTATCTACAGACCCTTCCCCAGACTCATCATCCACCAAGTCCTTCTCTATGGTGAATACTGACGCAAAGTACTCATTTAATACCTCTCCCATTTCCTCTATCTCCACTCACAAGTTCCCTTCCCTGTCCTTGAGTGGGCCTGTTGGCCAATGACTTTTCATATCCCCTTTTAGCCCTCCTGACTCCTTGCTTAAGTTTCTTTTGATTTTCCTTGTATTCCACCCTTGCTTCGTGTGTTCTCTGCCTTGATAAATGCTTCCTTTTTCTTTTTGATTCAGCTCACAATGTATCTCGTTAGCCAAGGTCCCCTAAACTTGCCATACTTATCCTTCATCCTTAAAGGAACGTGCCGGTCCTAAGCTCCCAGCAACTTACACTTGAAAGCCTCCCACATACCATATGTTGATTTGCCCTCAAACGTCTGCCTGCAATCTACATTCTTCAGTTCCTGCCTAATATTGTTGTAATTAGCCTTCCCCCAATTTAGCATCTTCACCTGACAGCTACACCAATCTTTTATCCATCAGTACCTTAAAGCTTACTGAATTACGATCACTGTTCCCGAGCTGCTCCCCTACTGAGATGTCAACTACCTGGCCAGGCTCATTCTCCAATACTAGGTCCAGAATGGCCCCTTTCCTAGTTGGACTGTCTACATACTGTTTCAAGAAGCCCTCCTGGATGCTCCTTACAAACTCTGCCCCATCCGAGCTCCAAGCACCAAATGAGTCCCAGTCAATATATGGGAAATTAAAATCACCCACGACAACAACCCTGTTACTTTTACATCTTGCCAAAATCTGCCTACATATGTGCTTCTATCTCCCGCTGGCTTTTGGGAGGCCTATAGTAAACACCAAACATTGTGATTGCACCCTTCCTGTTCATGAGCTCTACTTGTATTGCCTCGCTGTGTGAGCCATCCAAGGTGTCCTCCTGCAGTACAGCTGTGATATTCTCCTCACTAAGTAGTGCAACTCTCCCACCCCTTTTTATACCTCCCTCTATCCTGCCTGAAACATCTGTATCCTAGAATGTTAAGCTGCCAATCCTGTCCCTCCCTTAACCAAGTATCTGTAATAGCAACAACATCATAGTTCCAAGTACTAATCCAAGCTCTAAGTTCATCTGCCTTACCTGTTACACTTCTTGCATTGAAACAGATGCACTTCAGTCCACCAGACCCGCTTTGATCAGCAACCACACTCTACCTGTTCTTCCTCTGAGTCTTACTGGCCCTATTCTATAGTTCCCTTTTAGTCCATTCACCTCTGCATTGGTTCTCACCCCCCTGCCAAGCTAGTTTAAATCTTCCTGAGTGACACCAGCAAATCTCCCAGCCAGAATATCTGTGCCCCTCTAGTTTAGATGCAACCCGTCCTTCTTTTCCAGGGCAGGTGTGACCTGTACAAGATCCCAATGGTCCAGATATCTGAAACCCTCCCTCCTACACCGTCTGTTTAGCCACGTGTTGAGCTATACTACCCTTATATTTCTAACCTCACTGGCACGTGGCACAGGGAGTAATCCTGAGATTATAACCTTGGAGATCCTGCTTTTTAACTTTCTACCTAACTCCCCGAACTGCTGCTGCTGGACCTTGTCACTGATCCTACCCATGTCGTTAGTACCAACATGTACCACAACCTGTGGCTGTTCACCCTCTCCCTTCAGAATGCTTTCTGCCTGTTCAGAGACATCCTGGACCCTGGCACCAGAGAGGCAATACACCGTCCTGGAGTCGGTTTTACGTGCACAGAAGTGCCTGTCTGTATCCCTAACTATAGAGTCCCCTATAACTACAGCTCTAGTGCTCTTTGTCCTTCCCTTCTTAAGAACCGAGCCAGCCGTGGTGCCACCAGTCTGCCTGCTGCTGCTGCTGTAACCCCCTGATGGGTCATCTCCCCTCCCACACATCCCCCCCCAACAGTATCTAAAATGGTATACTTGTTAGAGAGGGGGACCACCACAAGGGATTCCTGCCCCTTCCTAGCTGTCACCCATCTATCTGCCTGCATCTTGGGTGTCACCACATCTCTAAAACTATCGTCTATGACGCTTTCCACCATCCTCATGCTCCTAAGTGCATCCAATTGCCGCTGCAGCCTATACACAGGGTCTGTAGGTGCACTTCCTGCAGATGTAGTCGTCCAAGACACTGGAAGTGTCGCGGATCTCCCATGTCTCATAAGTGCAGCACTTAACCCCACTGACTGACATTTCTATCCCCAGTTGAGCTGATTAGGAGAATTTATTAAACACTTACCCTTACTCATCGCTACGAATACCCGAAGTAGGTCTTCCCTCACTTACCTTCCCAGGATGCTCCCTGGATCTCTCCCTTTCCCTTTCCCTTTCCCTTTGCTTCTGGTCCTCACAGCGGTGTCTGTGGGCTTTTTTTTTTTGGTTAGAGGAGGAGGTAGGGAGGGCAACACTGAGGAAGTGTTTGGGGTTGAATTGTCACTTGACAACAGCCCCTCCGCAAGCCACCTTCTGGAAGCAGTAACTGCACTGATGCAGATCTTCCCCCATGTCAGCCAATCAGCGTCACCACTCTGCTGCCCTCTTCAAGCTCTTCCACAATGCTTGTTTTCCCTACATGTGTAGAATCACATATGGTCATGTAACAATTTCAGCTATAGTGGGTCTAGGCCCGAAACGTCAGCTTTCCTGCTCCTCTGATGCTGCATGGCCTGCTGTGTTCCTCCAGCTCTACACCTTGTTATCTAACAACTTCAGCTGTTGTTTTAATTGCTAAAATTTGGGGCGGTATGGTGGCTCAGTGTTAGCAGGTTAGCACTGCTGCCTCACAGCGCCAGGGACCTGGGTATGATTCCAGCCTTAGGCAACTGTGCAAGCTCCACACAGACATTCTGCCTGTGTCTGCGTGGGTATCCTTCAGATGCTCTGGTTTCCTCCCACAGTCAAAAGATGTTTCGGTTAGGTGGTTTGGCTGTGCTAAATTGCCCATAGTATCCGGGGATATGCAGGCTAGATGGATTACCAATGGGAAATGCAGGGTTACAGGGATAGGGTGGGGTGGAGGGTGGCATCGTTGGGTCTGGGTGGGATGCTCTTCAGAGTGTCGGTGTGGATTCAACTGGCCGAATGGTCTGTTTCCACACTGTAGGGAATCTGTGGTAGATGACCTCTGTAAGCTTGTGATTATATTTAGATTTAAAACTTGTACACTTTGTTCTTGAGGATATTCATGTCCTCAAATACCTTTCAGCTCGTAGGCTTTTATTCCAAGTGATGTTGACAAACAAAATGTCCCTTTCATCAAGAAATCTGCAGTAATGTAAACTTCAGTTCTGTAATGAGTGACAATTAGTAGTCCCCCACAGTTAGAAAGGAGAGAAAAGGAAACATGAGAAAAAAGGTGAAGATAAGGAGATGGACAGAAGTCTGTATAAGGTTAAAGAGGTCCAAAACAAAGGGAGAAGACTGAGAGAAACAGCATTAACGGGAATAAGTCATTAGTCAGTTGGTCAGTCCATGGTCTTGAGGGGTTGCACACCTTGAGCTTTGTTCTTTCTCTTTCACCTTTTGACTTCTATCATCCACTTTGCTTCAAAGCCAGCTTCATGTTGATGAAGCAGGGATCACTACTGTGGGCAACCCAGTATGCACTCTCCCTATCTCTTCAGGCTGGATTGGTCCTACTTCATGTATGATTTCAGGGATTCTTGAAACTTTTCTGCTGGCTGCCCTATGATTTGAAGGCATTTCCTTCAGCAGCAGGGTGCCTGCATATAACTGTGTGTTCTATGTAACACTTGACCTCATGGATGTATTGCTGTGCGTCTGGCTGATGCTCCAAAACCTGATGCTCGAGCTGATCACGTTGGTGGCACTTTCTGCATTTGTGGTCATCCAGACTGCCAGGAGTGTCTTATGATTTCCCACGTACTCCAGGTCGTGTACACGCAGGACTATGATCCTCTGCCATATCTTGCCTTGCTTTAGATTCTGAACCTTTTCCTACTTCGGTTTACTTGTATTACTTTACTTTTATTATATTGCAGCTGACATTCACTTGTTTCTGGTGCTGCTTAATGCACTTTTCTAAATCTTTGTTGTTTACTGAGCCCCTAATAACTTTTTCTTACCAGCCAATGAACTTTGTAATGTCATACTTGTTTTCTTCAACAAGGACTGCCTGCCTGGCACTCTTCTTGACTTGCCTCATTGGAGGACATTCTTCCCAGACCGTAAGTTTGCAATGCTGATTGCAGGGCACATGCTCTTGCCAGATTGCTTCACCCTGATGCTGACTGCAGGCATTCTTCCCCTGAATTCTACATCTGTCCAAGAACAGAAATATCCTCTCGGCACCTATCCTTGTTAAACCCCTGTTTAATCCTTTCAATAAAATCAAACCACTTCCTCAAATGTTCGTTTATGACTTCCTTACTTTTGTACTCGCCTCTATTTAAAAAGCTATATTTTTTAATAGCTTTAACTCGACCTGCCACCTTCAATATCTTGTATCTCTGATCTCCAGATCTCTCCCTTCCTGCATACTCTTTAAAATTTTGTGGTTTATGTTACAACACCTCTCCTCATTCTTCTGCCCTAATGCTTCAATTCACATGCACACATTTTTTGCCTGTATGTCTTCAAATTAATATTACATTTCTGGCATAAATTTAAGCCAGGTGTGTATCTGACATATAATGAATAAACGTTAGACTTAAAATGTTGTTAGCCATTGTAGTTGAATGGTTCTGGTTTATGTGCATTCCTTTGCTCATTTTATTGATCTTTCTTTTCAGCTTCAATCAATCATAGCAAAAGTACTAGATCAGTTTCATGACTTTGCAGTTTTATTTTCAATGGTAAGTTGTTGGTTCTCCATTGTTACTGAAAATATGTCATCCTGTATTCTAAATGCATCAATTCTTTGTTTAACCACACTGGGTTTAAAACCCCCTATATTTTTTTAAAAAAAAAAGGTACATGGGTCTACTTACTGTGAATGGACTGTGACAGTTTAAGAATGCTGATCACCACCACCTTCTAAATGGCAGCTAGGGACTGGTAATGCATGCTGGCCCACCTAGCGACACCCATATCCGATTAATGAATAAAGCAGATTAATAAATTAAGCATCTAATTTTAACTAGATTACCAATGTGAAGATTATTAATCTTAAAGTCTGTTTTGTTCCAATGAGTTGGTAAAATTCCAAGAGTTGTGAAGGACAGTTGAAACTCCTGTTGTCTAATTTCCATGTCTTTGTGTTTTAAGCTTGCGTTGCCTCAAGTTATTTGCCAAATTTGTCTTAAATTAAACAAAAATGAAGTGCTAATTTTACATATTTTCTCAACCTATTGAAAGGAGTTAATTACAAACCTCTGGAGCATGGGGGATTTGAACCTTGCCCTCCTGGCTCAGAGGTAGGAACATTTACAATTGCACCACAACAGCCCTAATGTGCTAATTTTAGTATAAAACACAGGATTGTTCATGTGTGGATGCTATAATGAAAGCAGATGGTTCTTTACTGTATGTCATAGTAACCAGTCCTTTTCCTCCACAAAACCTTGACTGTTAATAAACAATTTTGTCTAAGTACAAATGTGTGTGTTAGCATAGTGCCTCACAAACTATTATGTTTAAAAACCCCTATTAAAATGAAAAAAATGACATTTAAAAAAGGCAAATACTGTGGATTCTGGAAATCTGAAATAAAATCAGAAAGTGCTGAAGAAATTCAGTAGGTTTGGTAGCATATTCATTATTCCAAAGAACTCAAACTGAGCATTAACTTTTTCTCTCCCACAGATGCTGCCAGATGTGCTGCGTTTCTCCAGCATATCTCTTTTTAATTCACACATCTCCCCATCTAAATTATCATAGAGTAGAATCATAGAATCCCTACATTGTGGAAAGAGGCCATTTGGCCCATCGAGTCTGCACTGACCATCCAAACAGTGTATCACTCAGATCCACTTCCTGCATCCTATCACTGTAACCCCACATTTACCATGGCTAATCCACCTAGTCTACAAATCCCTGGAAACTGGACAATTTAGCATTGCTATTTTACCAAAACTGCACATTTCTGGACTGAGGGGAAACTGGTATGCCTGGTGGAAACCCACGCAAACACTGGGTGAACATACAGAATCCACACAGTGGCCCAAGGCTGGAATTGAACCAGGGTCCCTGGCACTGTGAGGCAGTAGTGCTCAGCACAGTGCCACCAAACATATAAATTCCACCAGCTGCTTTGGTTGAGTTTGAACCCCTACCCCAGAGATGTAATACAGAATTGCTGGCTTAACATTACCACTACGCCTTCATCTCTTTTTAGGCTGGCAGTTTTTCCCTGAAGGACATTAGTGAAACTGAGGGGCCTTTCCTGACAATCAACAGGTTTCATGGTCATTATAAGGCTCTTAATTCCAGATATTTATTGAATTCAAATTCCACCATCTGCCAAGGCAGGGTTCGAACTAGGGTCGCCCGTACATTACCTGGGTCTCTGGATGAACAGTCCAGTGATAATACCACTAGGCCATCACCTCCCCAAATTCTATCATCCTATAAAGTTCTCCATATTTAAGTAAGGTTTTATTTTGCAATTTTTCTTCTTTATTTATGCATTACTTAAACAAGAACTCTCCTCACGTGGACAAAGCTAAACTCACCTTGTGACCCAACACCAACCTTGGTAACTGTAGGCCTGCCTGGAAAAGTTGCAGAAATTTTCATACTTCACAAAGTATGCGATCTTCCAAGATGACACAGCTACCACCCCGCCTCCTAGCTCCAACTCTACCTTCTGCCAGACATCATTCAGTCACGTACTGCTAAGCTAGCTTGTGGACCCTTGGGAAAGTTTCTTCAAACCTCAGTTTTAGCAATGCTATTAAAAGTTTAGTGGACTCATCACTTGCTCTTTAATGTTTTGGTTTAAACTTTAGTTACTTTCACATTTCTGTGTTTTAACTAAAACCCCCACCTTTCTTCTAGCATTCCTTACAAAATGTGCTATTAAGTGCTTAGCAAAATTTAAAAAATGACCGTAGATCATGGGATCCCTACAGTGTGGAAGCAGGCCATTTAGCCCATCCCTCCGAAGAGCATCCCACCCAGACCCAACCCCTATACCCCATACCTATAACCCTGTATTTTCCATGGCTAACCCACCTAACGGGCACATCCCTGAATACTACAGGGTAATTTAGCATGGCCAATCCACCTAACCTGCACATCTTTGGACTGTGGGAGGAAACTGGAGCACCCACAGGAAACCACGCAGATGTGGAGAGAATGTGCAAACTCCACACAGACAGTTGCTCCAGGGTGGAATTGACTGCTGGTCCCTGGTGCTGTGAGGCAGCAACGCTAACCGCTGAGTCACCCAGCCACCCATGTACTTGAAAATATAAAGAAAAAGATTGGTCATCTGCAATGGAGATGTAAGAAGGCACTTAAAATCCTGTATGATTGAGACGTTAATAACTGGATAAGACACTTGATTTCTATGTATTCCATTCTCAGGAGAAGTTCCTCCCTTTCCTGGATATGTTCCAAAAAGAGTGTGTCAAAGTGGAGGTCTGCAAATCCATTATGAACGTTTTTATTAGGTAAGTACAAGCTCATGCGAAGTCTCACTTACTGTATTAGAACTATTAAAACTTGCTATCTGAATGTTTATTGTAATCTTCTGTAGCATTAAACCTAAAAGACTGCTATCTTGGACCTTCTATAAGTTATGAATCCTGTCCATGCACTATTTCACCCCCTTTTTAAAGTGTTCATGCAAGAATAATTTGATCTACTTACAGAAGCAAATTGGCATTTGAATTCCTCTTCAAACACATGGCCTGGATTTTAACTATTCATTTAGGACCCTGAATATCATTAGATCTCTGACAAAAATAAACTGTGCTCCACTTTTAGACCATAAAAATCTATAAATATATTTAGGAGTGAACTTTGCAGTGAGCAGCATGAATACTAAAGTATAAGATACTTTAGCTCTTTTGGCACACTATCTTTTATAAACTTGGTATTGTTTGATCAAGACATACAGTGGAACTTCTAGACAGTGCAACTTTAGAAAATCATCTCTCATTGTACCAATTATTCTGTTTTACATTTCACATCTTCTCGTCCAAGGTCATAATATCCTTGAGATCTTGCCTAGTTTTTTTTTAATTCCCTCCCTGAGAATGGAGATGTGCAGAAACAGGAGTAGCCCATTGGAAAGGTGGTGGTGTAGTGGTAATGCTTCTGGACTTGTGACAAGAGGCCCATGCATGGCAACTGGTGTAATTTAATTTAAATCAGTAAATCTGGATTATAAAGCTGATCTGTGGTGATTAAGAAACTGTCATAGAGTCAGCTAGTCAGAGAGGTCTAGAGCACAGACAAAGGTTTCTCAGCCCATTGAGTCTGCACATGCCAAGAGCGATCACCTAACTATTCTGAATCCATCTAGCCTATGTGACTTCAGACCCACAGCAATATGGTTGACTGTACAAGCAACTCAGTTCGAGGGAGGTAGACAAACAGGAGGCTGGAAGAACTCGGCAGGCCAGGCAGCATCTGGAGGAAAGGAGAAGTCAATGTTTCAGGAATTACCCTTCTTCAAGGCTGGATGTGGGGTAGGGGGACTGCTGATAAAGTCGGGGAGTGAGGTGGGGTAGCAGAATGGTGGTGATAGGTGGACACCGGTAGTAGGTATGACCTGGTTGGTTTATGGGAAGGATGAATCAATTTGTGGCTGAATGGAAGGGTCAGTAGGTGGAAAGGAAGGGAGGAGGTGGGGCTGAAAAGGGAGCAGGGGGATGGTGGGAAGGTTGTTTAAAATTGGCGAACTCGGTGTTGAGTCCTTTGGGCTGTAGGGTGCCAAGGCGGAAGATAAGATGTTGTTCCCCAAATTTGTGTTCTAAGTCGCTGCAACACTGGAGGAGGCTGAGGACAGACATATTGGAAGGAGAGTGGCGGTGGTGGGTAGGTAGGTGGGGAGGAGGAGTTGAAATGCGCAGTGATTGGGAGGTTAGGTTGGCCATCACAGGTTAGGCAAAGATGCTCAGCCAAATGATCACCCAGTCTACGTTTGGCCTCTTTAACATAGAGGAGACCACATTGGGAGCACCAGATGCTGTACTTGACGAAACGGTCGCCTAGTCGAAATGAGAGAGAGCCTATGTTCAAGGGAGATTTGGGGATGGGAAATAAATGCTGGCCTAGCCAGTGATGCTCACATTCCAAGAAACAATAAGAAACCGGAAAAAAAGGCACTGAAGTTGACTTGGGTTGCCTTCGGCTATGGTTCCTTTTACAAAGAATTCCAGTTCTTTGCTTTCAAAGATCTAACCTTGAGAGCCTTCCAATAGCTGCTTACATCCCCACAGTTCAATGTTCCCCTGAGACTGTCCCGCTGGAGTCAAAACTGTCTCTAGCAACTACTCTTGGGCACAATTCTAGCTATTTTGTAGATAACTAGCTTCACTAAGCTAGCATTACCACTGGGTATCTCCCAGCTCTAGTATATCTGTTGTACCGAGCAAATACGGTTTGTGCTTCTTTCACATCCTATCCACCCCCTTCAGCTGCACTGAACTGTCAATCGCTCCCAGAACTTTATGTAAGCCCTGATGCTCTCCAAAACCAAGTCAAAAACCTTCTATCGCATTTTGGGCTCTTGGATCTTCTTCCAGAGCCCGAACTACCACAGCCAGTGACCTTCAGCTTCCTTCTCGGCAGCACTGTTCTTGTTTGTAACCTGTGCCTCTATTCTGACTCTTTAACCTGTCACAGCACTCCCTGTTTGTGGCTATCTTGGCTGCTTGTGGTCAAGTTTTCATGTCACTGCCAGCTCTGTGCAGGCATATTCCTGTGCGCAGCTGCTTAAAGAAATGAGACTGGGTACACCTGGCCTGTCTGCTCCATGCACAGACTGGAGTGCACTCGGTATGCCAAGCTTTGTAGTCCTTGGTTTAACCTGTGAAAAGATATGTTCATCTGTTACGTTAATCCTGTCACAAAACTTCCCTCTTTGGCTTTTCTCTTTCATTGTCTTCTACTTATTGAAAACCTGCTGCATCTGTAATACTTCCCAGTTCTGACTGAAGGTCACTAGTCTGAAACATCAATTCCTATTTATCTCTCCATGGCACTGCGTGACCAGTTGAGTATTGTGGAGCTTTCTATTTATGTGTCAACTAATTACTCTTCTACATGTCAGGTAACATCTTTTTCTTACTTTCTAGGCAACAGCAAGAATTGACCCGTGACCCTGTCATTCTTAATGCTCTGATGCATATTTGCAAGACAATGCATGATTCTGTCAAGTAAGATACAATTCCTTTAAAACAGTGATTTTTAAAAAAACTTATGGGACATTGGTGAGAACTCAAAATTGACCTTCCCCAGAAATTTGTTTCCTGACTTTGGAATGATTTGTTGTTCTCTTCCTTGATTCTTTGCTCATCCCCTAAAATGTGTGGCTATAGACTGCTGGCTGCAGTTTGTTGGATCTTTTAAACTGACTATAGATAAACACATTTTCTTAAAGTATTGCAAATACTTGTAAGTTTCAAGCATTTTTATAAATAGGCATCTGTGGAGAGCAACTTGTTTTCTCTTCATAGATGTTGACAAGCCTGTTTTGCCATTTCCAACATTTTTGTTGTTTTACGCAACAAAACAAAGTGCTGGAGAAACGCAGCAGATCTGGCAGCGTCTGTGAAGAGTGAAACAGAATCAATATTGAGTCCAGTGACCTTCCTTCAGAATGTTCTGAAGAAGGGTTACTGAACCCAAAAAGTTTATTCTGTTTCTCTCTCCACCCATGCTGCCAGACCTGCTGTGTTTGTCTAGCATGTTGTTTTTATTTCAGATTTCCAGCATCCACAGTCCTTTTGTTTTTTTTTTGGACTTTTCTATTTTGTTGTCTGCGCGTATCTCCGTTGATGGGAGAGTGTATCATTCACTTGTCAGGGAGTAACCTCGGCCTTTATTGTCACTCGCTGCTTCAGAAGTCTGTGACGAGCCCTAGTCTTGAACCAGTGCAGTCATGGGCTGATGTTAAGTAGGGAATTCCAGGAGTTTCAGCCAGGAATAGCGAAGGACTGGTGTTAATGTAGGCTATATGGCGTAGAGGGGAATTCCAAGGCCATGCACCTGCTACCTTGTCCTTCTATGTGGTAGAGATTGTGGATTTGGGAAGTGCTGATGAAAGAACCTTGGTAAGTTGTTTATAATGATATAGCATATCTTCAAAGCAAATTATAATGCTTTTGCAAATTAATTCCCTCTTGATGAATCGTATGATCAAAGAGCCAACTGTTCCTAATTAAATTTATATGCCATCAAGTACTTTGCGCTCTCTCTTTGAGTCGAATCAAGTATTTTGTCTGGGTACTTAGTTACCTTACAACGTTTTGGTAAACTAATCCTTTTACCACCCTACATTGCTTGCGTGATGGAGGCTATAGGGTGATGGGGTTAAGTTTTTATGGATTTTTTTTTAAATGGCAGATGAAACCTCTTGGCTTTGGCAGATAAAATTCATTAGTGGATCTTTCCATAACGTCCCAGTCACTACTGAATTGAGCTGGAAAGTGCAATTCTGCACTGTTGCCAGTAGAGCTGCTTGTTTGCTTGTCCTCGGCAGTAGTGTACAGTAAATTTATCTCCTATAAAACAGAATTGCAACAGAAGGCCAAACTAAGATTATTAACATTAGTTAATCAGGATAATTTATGTGGTAGAAAGCCATGATCATCCTTTCTATGCTGGTTCTGTAGCAGCAATTGCTTTTAATGTTTGAAGTAAAATATTGAGATATTTATGTTCCAAGTAATTTGTAATTTTGTTTTCCCCGAACAACAAAACCACTTGTTACTGGGAATTATTCGTTTTCTTCTAATTTTTGTTCAAGAGAATTAGCGTACTTTTAATCCAGTTTTTACTTGATTTGTCCTTTTAATAAATTACAGTTTTTAAGTTATGCCTGTTTGTATATGCATTCTTTTATTGAAGTGCTTTAACGTTGGAAGATGAAAAACGGAGTTTGGCCATTCTCATCAGTGGATTTATCAGAATGGTGAGTACGTTACTTTGCTGTAATACTAGATGTATAAGAATAGACCTATTTTCATTGCAACTGAGTTGGAGTGGGGACAACTGCTGGACCACAAGTTTTCAGTACTATTGCTGGAATGTTGTAAGGGCCCGTAGCTATTGCAGCGTTTAGTGTTTCCAACCATTTGTTTTGAGATCATCTGGAGTGTTTCAAATCGGCTGAAGACTGGCATCTGTGATGCTGGGGACCTCTGGAAGAGACCAAGGTGGATCACCCACTCAACACTTCAGGCTGAAGATTGTTGCAAATCCTTCAGGCTTATTGTTTGCACTGATATGCTGCGTTCTTCCATTATTGAGGAAGAGAATATTTGTGGAGCCATTTCCTCCAATGAGTTACTTAATTCTCTGCCACCATTCATGGCCAGATCTGGCAGGACTGCAGTGCTTAGATCTGGTACATTGGTTGTGGGATTGCTTAGCCCTGCCTATCACTGGTTGTTTCTGCTGTGTGTCACGCAAGTAGTCCTATTTTGTCACATTCTGTGTGTATTTTGAGTCTGAGATAGGTAGATTTTTTTGGCTGTCAGGAAATTGAGGGATTCAAGCAGTAGGTGGGAAAGTTGAGCTGAGTAAAGGATCAGTCGTAATCTTATTGGAATACTGCTCGAGATACTGTTTGTCTGCTCCAAGTGATATTTATGATCATGTGTTTCTAAAATGCAGTGATTTCAAAGAGATGTGTAATGTTTTAATGCAATGCACTATATTCCTTAATTCACAGACTTTTTTGTAGAAAAAAGTAGATTGATGTGATAACCCTGAATAACGCTCATGGGGGATCACTAGTTAATCTCCCTGTGGAGCTTATTGACGGAGTTCCGTCGGTAAAGGCAATGGCCAGCCCAGCTGGAACTTATCTTCTGAATCTTGGGCCGTCTTGTGGTTCAGTTCTCATCTCCCTACCCCTGAAGCAAGGAGGCCTGGGTTCAAATCCCACCTGCTCCAGAGGTGTGTAATAACATCTTTTGAAATAGGTTAAATAAACAAATAAATACTTAACAAGTAGGGGCTCTCTTGTGGCTCAGTGGTAGTGTCCGTACCCTGGACTGAAAGCCCCACGTTCAGGTCCCACCTGCTCTGGAGGTGTGTCATAATATCTCTGAAGAAGTTAATTTAAAAAGAAATCAACATAAAACAAACATGGGGCTCTTGTGGTTTAGTGATGGTTTCCCTACCTCTGAGCTGGAAGGCCTGGATTCGAGTTCCACCTGTCCCAGATATGTCATATTGTGCATGAGCAAAAATATCTAAAGCAGACAAATGAACCTTGTGGTGCTGGGGTAGTGTCCCTGCTTCTGAGCTAGGAGACCTGGGTTCAAGCCTCACCTGCTCCAGAGAAGTGTAATAATAAAATAGAAAAGATTAACTAGAGCAGACATGGGTGCAGAACTGTCTGCCTGGGCTGGGAATGGCCTATGAACGGAGTAAGTGGTGGCTCTATTTTGGAGTTCAGCCATTAATGATATTCATTCCTAGTCGGGTTTCCTGAGTTATTACAGTCTTGTAGCCTAATTTAGTATTACAGCTAAATGGAAATTTTGAATCATCACATGGTTCAAATTCCTACAATTTTAGCTGTAGGTAATGTGGTCCATTATATGAATTTATTACTAATAATGTGAGTTAAAACACATTTTTGCAAAAGCAACTAGAACAATTATGATCTTTGATCATTCTCCTGTGTGAAATATTTTTCTCCACTTTTTATTGCTAAATAATATAACAAGATAGCATTCTGTTTTAATATGTTGAAGGTCCAAACACTTCTGCTGTCTCTTTTTTTTTTTGTTTGGCTTGTTTTGTAAGCTGTGTTTTGTGCTCATTTTAAAGTTTTGTCTTAAGCACTGTAATTTTGACTTGCAAAATATACTTTCCTTATATTTCTCTCTTGTATTTGGTGGTGAGGTTTCATTTGGTCGTGACTTTGAGCAGCAGCTAAGCTTTTATGTGGAAGCCCGATCAACCTTCTGCAACTTGGAGCCTGTCCTCATCCAGTTGATCCACGTGAGTAGGCAATTAGCAGAGAAAATTTTAATATTATCTTCAAGCTGAGCCTATATATTTTCCTGTAAATGCTTGAATTGTGCTAAGAAGTGGATTTATCCATATCAGTGCAGCATGACATTTATTACTGTTTTAGTTTTGAGTTACTTGCATATTTCAGGAGGGGGTGCTGTTTGCCAATGTGTTCTTTTAAGGACGTTGATTTTGCAGATTATAAACAACCAGTGTCTCTGTGTTCTGTAAGTGTTCTTTTTTAATAATTGCAGTGTGATTAAACTTTCTCACTTGATATATTCATAGTCATATAGTGCAGAAATATCCCTTTTGCCTGTCAAGTCTGCACTAACATAACTACCGTTCAAGATGAGCAAATTCCAATTTCCTGCATTTGTCCCATGTCCCTGTTGTGTTGTGATATCTCAAGCACTGATCCAAATTTTTTAAGGTTAAGGTTTCCAGCCTCCACTACCTTCCCAGGTAGTGTATTCCAGATTTCCTCCACCCGCTGAGTGAAAAAGGTTTTTTTTTTCCCAAATCCCCTCTGAATCTCCTGCCCCTTATCCTAAAACTATGCTGTCTTGTGATTGACCCCTCAATCAAGGGGAATAGCTGCTCTGTATTCACCCTGTCCATACCCCTCATAATCTTATACGTCTTAATCATGTCCTCCTTCAGTCTTTGCTGCTCTAAAGAAAACAATCTAAGCCTACCTAATCTCTCCTTTATAGCTCAATTGTTTCATTCTAGGCAACATCCTGGTGAACCTCCTCTGTACCCCTTCTAGTGCTATTACATCCTTCCTGTAGTGAGGTGACCAGAACTGCATGCAGTACACCAACTGTGGCCTAACAGATGGTCTGCTCAACTCCAGCATTACCATCTTGCTCTTATATTCTTTGCCACAACAGATGAAAGCAAGTGTCCTATGTACCTTCTTAACTGTCCTGTCCACGTGCTCTGCTGACTTCAGGGATCTGCAGGATTACCCCAAGAACCATCTGTTTCTGTAAGCTACCCAGTGTTCTGCCATTCATTAAATACTCCCTCATCTTGTTTCTTCTTCCAAAGTGCATCACCTCGTACTTATCAGGGTTAAGTGCCATCTGCCACTGGTCTGGCCATCTGATCTATATCTTCCTGTAATCTACCACAATATTTGTTACGATTAACCAGCCTATCAATCTTGGTATTGCCTATAAATTTGCTTAACATCACACCCCTGACCCCCTACCACCACAAAAAAAAACATTTTCATTTGTATCACTTTTATGTATATAACAAACAATAAGAGTCCCATACTGATCCTTGTGGTACACTGCTGGACACAGGCCTCCAGTCACTCTCTCAGCCTTCTACCATTACCTTTTGTGCCCTATTATTAAGCCAGTTTCTGATCCATCACATCAAGTTTCCCTCAACTCTGTATGCTTTAACCTTTTCAGTGTCCCATGTGGGACATTGCCAAAGGCTTTGCTAAAATCCATATAAACAAATCAACTGAAGTTTCCTCATCAGCGCACATAATCACATTTTCAACAAATTCTAACAAATTTGTTAGGTATGACCTCCCTTTGACAAAGTCATGCTGACTATCCCTAATTATCCCATTCCTTTCTAAGCGGTTATTAATTCACTCTTTCAGAATTTTCAGATTGCATTAAATTATTTGAAATTGAACCAAACTGTGATCAATTTGGATGAAACACTAAAGTTGAATTAGAATCCAGCACCCAAATTTGATAGAATTATAAAATTCTATTTAGTGAAACTCTTAATTTGAGATTCAAAAGCACCAAAAAGATTGTAATGCGCTTTTGACAAATATAAATCCAGTTGTGAACATGTAATGCTTATGTTTCCACTTTTAAGAGTGTGAATCAGCTTGCAATGGAAACAAAGAAAGTGATGAAAGGCAATCATTCCAGAAAGACAGCAGCATTTGTACGGGTTAGTGTCAAACTTCATACTGCATGCTTCGAAATGACTGTTTATTATGCAGTTTGTTCAGTGATTAATTTAATTAAGAGTATATTGGAAATGTTAATTGGTTATTGTGCACCAGAAAGAATGGAAAATGAATGATCAGCTTGAATATTCAAATGTCTGAGAAGGTATTCTGAAAAGTCACTACATTAATCATGATTTACTACTGCACAGAATTTGTTCTGACAAAGCAAAATTACGCATTGTTTCTCATTATGGTTAATAATTTTTGTTTCACTAACTCTCTCAGGCTTGTGCTGCATATTGTTTCATTACAATTCCATCGCTGACAAGTATCTTCGCACGTCTTAATCTCTACCTGCTCTCGGGTCAAATAGCTCTTGCAAACCAGTGCCTTTCACAAGGTAAGATAAAATAACAATAAGCTATTAATAAATGGCTGAAGGCTGACAAGTTTCATGGACCTAAAGGTCTGCAGCATTGTGAAAGAATTGGATGCATTAGTTGTAAACTTCCAAAATGCCCAGGTTCTGGAAGGATGTCAGCAATTTTGAAATCACAAATGTAGCACCTGTTTTCAAGAAAGAAGAATAGAAAGTAGGAAATTATAATAGGCTAGTTGGTCTAATATCTGTCATTGGGTAAATGCTAAGCTTCATCATCGTTAAGGAAGTGGTGGCAGGGTGTGATGTAATATGTCCTTTTAAATGCATTTTAGTGTTCTTTATTTTTAAGTTTGCTGTTTGAATTTGAACTAGCACATGGGTTTTTGGTATGTATGAAGGAGTTTAATAATTCATTTGTAAGCATTTCTGTTGCCTTAATGATTTATAGAAGTGTGAGCAAACAATGACGTCCTGGAGGGTAATGCGGTTTTGTTTACATTGGGAGAATTTTAAGAGCAAAGAAAGTAAATGGTTGTGGATTAGGCTTCAGTTTAGGTGATCAGGGATTG